ACGTGGAAATCCATAGCAGCTAAATACTCAGAAACGCACGTTTCTAAATATGGAGGGAAAAACTGGAGGACCCAGAAATATATCCACGCGACCACGGGGAGAGAAACATGCAGACTCCAAATATACAGCAGTCGTCTGAGTCGAACCCACGCTCTCCTCCATACCCAGACGAGGGAGATGGCATCTCGCCACTGAGGCCGCATGATCAATCCCTGTCTACGTCCATGGGTCTCTGTGTAAGCCTACGGGGGGGGGGGGGAGGTTGTGTAATATTATCAATCTCATACTCTTAGTTCTTTCGGTAAAGTCACGTAGGTAAAAAATGAAATTAAAATTAATAAAATCAAAATAAAACAATAAAAATCACGACGTTTCGGAGGCAACACAAGTCTCCATCATCAGTGACGGTCCCACCTGATGACGGAGACTTGTGTTGCCTCCGAAACGTCGTGATTTTTATTGTTTTATTTTGATTAATTTTAATTTCATTTTTTACCTACATGGTGACTTTACCGAAAGAACTAACTGTATGAATCCTTGCAGTCACGAAAGCTTCAAATTTAGAATTATCAATCTCTGTATATACGTCTATGGGTATCTGTTTAAGTCTATGGATCTTCGTTTAAGTGCACGGGTCTCTGTGTAAGTACATGGGTCTGTGTCAATCTACGTGTCTCAACGTAAGTTTATGAGTTTCTATGCGAATCTATGGGTCTCAGTGTAAATATGCTTCGCTGTGTAAGTCGTCTATGGGTGTCTATGACGTAATGTAATATGGGCCTCTTAGTCTTTTGGTCTGCATACGTCTGTATAGTTGTCTGTATATACGACGATGGTTCTCTTCTCTGTCTAAGTAAATGGGATTCTGCAAAAATTGTGGGTCTCTGTAAATCGATAGGTCTCTGTACTGCATTTGTCTATTCTACGTACATATGTATGTCTCTGTAAGTCTTCCCTGCCCCTGTGTACGTATATGGGTCTCTATCGCAGATCGAGGCGAGTCTACGGGGTCTCACTATGCGGGTTAAGTTGCTCAGCGTGTTTGCCGAGGGGAGCTCCGGTGCGAGAAATTAAACCGGGGATTCCTCCCCCTCCCCCGGCCAGCTAAATGGGGTCCCCCTGCCTCCCTCCCTCTCTCTCTCTCTCCCCCGGCCTCGAAATCTCCCTCTCCCCTCTCTCGCATCGCAAGTCCCGCCGACAGCCCACTCCGCGGGCTACGCCACCGTTTCCGCCACACACAGAGGGGGTAACTTCGCCCCCTCCCTCCCCCTCTAGCCCCCCCCTCCCTCCTCCTCCCTCCCCCTCCCTCCCCCCTCTAGCCCCCCCACCACCATGCACACAGAGGGGGTAACCCCCCCCCCTACCCACCATGCGTAGAGGGAGGGTAACTTCCCCCCTCCTTCCCCCCTCTAGCCCCCACCCCCCACCATGCACACAGAGGGGGTAACCCCCCCTACCCACCCACCATGCGTAGAGAGAGGGTAACTTCCCCTCCCTCCCCCCTCCCTCCCCCCTCTAGCCCCCCCACACATAGAGGAAGGGCAATTTCCTTCCCCCCCACCACCACCACCCGCATTTGCCTGCCGCGTTGCTTATCACTGGAAAGTGCCTCTCCGTGTGGAGCGACGGGGAAGAGAAGTGGGCGGGGGAGGAAAAGTGGGGAGTGGGAGGGGCACGCGAGAAGCCGTGACGCAGCTTGCGTGGCTCTGTGACGCGCACACGACAGCGTGGGAGTCGCTGGGGGGGTGGGGGCGCTAATTAGAGAGAGGGGGTTGGTGGTGGGGGGGTCGTGGAGTCTCGCGCGGCTATTTCCGAAGCCACGCGCGCGTTGTCACCGAGCAGCGCGCGCGTGTCCCCAATTCTAAATCAGGCCCGGGCTTTTATATTTTTAGCAATTTCCCTCTATTTCTGTAACGATTCTCGTATTTTTGCTGAGCTCCCCTCAACCCACCCCTCCGTCCCAACCCCCGCCGGTGTAAGCCAGTTAAGGCCAAGTGATGACCATTCCACATTCCTGCATTACCCGCCGGGGTTCTTTGTAGTAGGTGAATGTTTTCTTGTAAATGGCAACCGTGACACTGCTGATGCTGAATTATTTGCTATCTTAGAAGACCCCTATCCCGTAACCCCCATCCTATAACCCTACCCCCAAACCCGCACCCTTTATACTATCACCCTAACCACATCTCGTAACCCCTACCCTATAACCCTAACCCCTATCCCTTAACTATGATCCTATAAACCTGACCCCTATCCTGTAACTATGATCCTATAACCCTAACCCCTATCATATCTCCCGAACCCCTATCCCGTAACCTATATCCAAAACACTAACTCCAGCCCGTAACCCCTACCCTATAACCCTAACCCCTATCCCGTAACTATGATCCTATAAACCTGACCCCTATCATATCTCCCGAACTCCTATTCCGTAACCTCTATCCAAAACCCTAACCCCTATCCCATATCCTCAATCATATAACCCAAAACCTATCCCCTAACCCCCAATCCCCGAACTCTATTATCTAACCCTTATCCTAAAGCCCTATCCTCTGTACCCTATTCCCTAACCCTATACAATATCCTCTTCCCAGTCACTGTAACGTGGCTAAATACTGGCCTCAAAATGAAACCTTATTATCATCATCTGAATCGTCAGCAGCAGATCGTGAAACACTCGCGGTGCAGGCGATGGGCATGGTGTGCACGTGTGGTTTGCGCACATGTCGATTCACACTTGAGTGAGTACCTCGTGCAGGGTATGTAACATCATCATTGGGAAGACAAAGACGGCCCGGCGTGGTGTTGGCCACCCACCCCGTCGTATGTGCCGTACGGGCCTCGCTAACAGCACTTGCCCCAACATTATATTAGAGACTGACTATACGGGGGATCTTGGTCCTTGTATGTGCGCTCAACGTTGTGTGTTGTGTCCTTCCACTGTGTCGTTGTGTGTGCACACGACCGTGTGTCTTCGCATGCGTTGTGAGTGCACGCTGTGCTGTGTGCACATGAGTGTGGAGCACATGTGAATGTGTGTGCGCGTGCTCGTGCACTTGCCCCAGCAGTCTGTTAAGGCTATTCGGTGGATCTTTGTCTTTGTTCGTGCACTAATGTGCTCGCGCACGGCACTTGCCCCAACAGTCTGTTAAGTTTATATGGCGAGGAATATTTATCATTGTGTACTTTGGGAGAGGTGGCGCAGCGGTTAGCGCATCGCGCTACGGACCTGGTCATCCGAGTTCGATTCCCGCTCACGACCAACATCAATGACGAATATCCGAGCCCAGTCCCAGCTGGGCCTCCCCTAGGCCGACTCAGCCTTAAATGAGTACCTGGTGCGATGTGTAAGCATTACCGTTGCGGAGACAAAGACGGTCGGCTTGTGGTACTAGCCACACTAACCCACTCGCCTGTGACGTTGTATCTGTACACGTGTGTCTGTGAGTGTGTCTATGAACGCGCGTGCGTTTTAACCACGCGCCGAAGGCCACCACAATTAGACTCGCCGCAGTATCAACAACAACAACGACGACTGAGCCAACCTCAGCTGGGGTCGCGACGGGAATAGCTGTCCAGATGCACCCCCCGCCCGCCCGCCACCACCACCACCGCTCATCCTCACTCCCCTCCCACGCAAAACCCGCTCGAGATCCTAAATTTATCCACAATTTATCCCAATTTTACTCGGCGCGGCGCGGAAAGAGGCCAAAAATAACCACCCCCATCCCCCGGCGCCCGCGCAGGCCCCGCCCCCCTCGGTGCGGCTATTTTTAGCCGCGCGCGTGCGTCACGGGCGCGCGCCGCGTGCGTCACGGGGGCGGACGCGGCGCGCGCTCCGCTGCGGGGGGTGACGTCAATGGGCGAGAGAGGCGGGGAGTGGGAGAACCGGGGGGGGGGTATCGGGGTGAGTAAAGGGGATGAGTGGAGGAGGAGGAGGTAAAGGAGGTGGTGGAGGTGAGAGACAGAGAGAGAGGGGGGGGGAGTTTGGGTGGGGGGGTGAGATGCACGCATCGATTGCAATCGATGATTACCATCGCAATAACACGTGTTGCATCGTGCACAATTAAAGCAAAATATTGGTCCCTCCTCCTCCTAGCGTGTACATCTCCAGGTGGTGGTGGACGTGGTGGTGGACGTGGTGGTGATCCACTCAGGGAAGGGAGCAAAACTCCGTAGGGGTCGCGCCCACGAGTCGATTGCAATGCCGCCGCAAAAACAGCGTCAAGTGATCGAGACGTGACGGCCCTCGTGTGCGGAGGGGCTTGCGGTGTCCGTCGGGAGCGGTGATCACGACGAGGGGGTGGCTGGGGGGGGGGGTGCAGAGGGGTTTCTCGGGAGGAAGAGAGCGCAGCATCGGCGTGGGACAGGGGAGGAAGAAGAGCGGGCGGGTGGGGATTTGTTGTTTGGGAATTGGGACGTGGGGAAGGGGGGGATGCACGCGATGTAGGGGAGGAGGAGGAGGGGGGAGAAGAGGAATTGAGGGGGAGTGCTGAGAGGGGGAGTTGATGGGTTTGTTGATGTTTGGGTGGAGGTGGGGGTGGGAGAATGGAGGGGCGGTGGTACATGAATGGGGAGGCGTGCGTGGTGAGGAGGCGTAGGGTAGGGCATGCGACGTGTAAGGGAGACATGTCGGCGAACAAGGAATGGAGAGAGTGAGGGGGGGGGAGGTGGTGGTGGACGGCGGGGGGAGGGGAGGGGGAAGCCGAGACGGAGGGGGGTGAAGGGAGTGGGGTGGAGGGTAGGGGAGGGGAGGGGCTGGAGGGGGTTGTCCGCGCGTGGAAACAGGAACGCGCTCGTGCGCGCGCACGCAGCAAGCGGAGAGAGACGCGGGCGACCGGGAGGTGGTGGGGGGGGGGCAGTGGCGTCACGGCAGCTCCGACGGCCGTCACGAGCCGCCTCCGCGCGCGCGGCCCCATTGGCTCGCGGGGCTTCGTGACGCGCGTCACCCCCTACTTAAAGCGCGGCGAGACGGCGTGCACGCGCACAGAACCCAAGGCGCTCCTCCTGTTAGGCGCACGAGTCTCTCTCTCTCATCTCATCTCTCATCTTTCCCCCCACACACACGAGTCTGTCTCTCGAACACACGCACGAGTCAGTCTCTCGCTCACGAGTCTCTCGATTGTTGACTGACCTGCTCACGCGGGGACCTACTCGCAGGACTTATCAGCCACCGCCGCCGCCGCACCTGTGGCACGGATCACGACACCTTTGGGATTTTGACAGCAAGAAGCCATCATCGCTTCGTCTTCTTTATCGAAGCTCTTCAACTGCACCCACGCCCCCCCCACCTCCTCGTGGGAGTCACGGTAAGACGTCCTCCTCACCTGTCTCAAAACTCGCTACGAAGTGAATCGGGGGGTGGGGGGCAGCCACCTGTGTGAATGCACCTGCGCAGCGGAGCTCGTCTTGCAGTCACTTTGGTTGGTTCGTATCGCAGAGCCTCTGATTCGGTGGTGCGATCGAGTCGTCCTGCCCGCTCGAGCGGCAGTTGTCTCAAATGTCAGCTTCGATCTGTCAGCTTCGATCTGTATTTGTGCATTGGCCGGGGGAGGAGTGGGATGCACTGCGTAAATGATTTAACTGATGATGGTAAATGCACAGATTTAGGTTTTTATGAGGAGGTGGGGGGCACCTAATATTTGTGGGTTGGGGGAGAGTTGTGGTGGTGCATTGCTGAATTGATATCGTGGGTGGTGCACACACGCGCACACACACACGGGATGGTCGGGTGCTGACTTGTGCAACTGGTAATAACGGCAGAAGGACGGTAGCGATGGCGAATCGTGGTGATGGTGTTGGTGAGTGGGTGGGCGGTGGTTGGTGGTGACTTTGTAAAGTTGTAACTCGGATTGCCCGCTCGGCCACCACTGCCGTGGCCCCGTCCACCTTTGAGGCGATGGTGGGGAGGTGGTGATGATGGAGGATGGAGGAGCCGGCAATTGCCAGAGCTGCGGGTTGCGTGGCCGTCTTAGCTCCTGGCCATGCAACATTTGCAACGCGCGCTCCGCTTCATGTGATGATCATGATGAGAGTGCTGCTGCTGCTGCTGATGATGATGTTGAAAGTTGCGGCACAAATGCAGCGGTTTGCGCGAGCGTGCAAACACGTGGCCAAGGGGGTGAATCCGTGCTATGCAGAATCATGATGATAACGAGTTCATTTGACATGCGTTGTTGATAAAGTTTATTATGGCAATGCCGTCATTAACCAGCGCTGCACTCATTAGCATACCCACCGCGGGGGGCATTACCATTGCTACTATTCATATTATAAATAATATTGGTCGCGAGAGCCTACGTGTTAAACTCACATGATAAAGTTTACACCGTTAATCCTCCACGCTACTTTAACACGCGATGGATATCACTGCAGGGATATAAAGAGCAGAGCTGCCAATGCGAACGGGCAATGAATGCACTGTGCAATGTGATATGCTTACAATGCCGCTGCTGATGATGATGTTAATGCTGCTGATGATGCTACTGCTGCTGATGGGGGTTGGGAGAGTGTGAAGGGGGAGGGAGGATCGAGTTTGCATCTGGAATTACGATCCTCGTCTCGCGCATTCGACACACCCCCCGCTGGCACGCGTGGTTTACACACTCACACACATACACACAATCACACGCACACGCACGTACACTCACTCGCTCACGTACAAACAAAAGACAAAGATCCCCCGTATAGCCTTGACAGACTGTTGGGACAAGTGCTGTTAGCGAGCACCTATGAAGGCCGGCAACGGCACACGAGGGGGTGGGTGGCCAACACCACGCCCGGCCGCCTTTGTCTCCCCAGTGACGATGTTTACACACCCCACCAGGTAGACATTTGATGCTGAGTCAACCTAGAGGAGGCCCAGCACTGGTTCAGATAATCGCCACTGGTGGTGCTCATGAGCAGAACCAATACACACAATCACATACATACACACACGTACACTCTCACACATCCATCCATCCACACACGCGTTTACACATATACATTTACACATGTAAACACTGACATTTACACACACCTACCATGTTTACCTATGTATCTGCCCACCCCTATGTCTATCTACCCTCTTACATGCCTACCCACCAACAAGTCTACCCGCCCACCTGTTCACCCACCCACATGTCTGTCTAGCCTCTGACACGTCTACCCGCCCACCTCTCCACGGCTTATAATTGACGTCTGTCCATCTATTCCCTCCCGTTGCAGCTCCACCGACTCCACAACCGCCGCGTCCCTCCCTCCAAGGAGCGGGCGATCTCTTCTCGGGGAACCCTGGCCGCTCAGGTGGCCACGTCCCGGTTCGCGCCCTGTCCCGCGCAGCGCGATGCCGGCATGAGCGTCTGCAGCAGCAGCCGTCAAGCGCCCTCATCCTCCTCCTCCTACCCCTCTCCACGGAGCGCCATGCCGTGCGCTGCGCGCGTCCCCTTCGCCGCCACGGGGGTCTCGGTGGGGTCCCCGCTGGGACCCTCCGGCGAGGCCTCCTCGCTGCTCCACGCGGCCGCGTTCCCCCAGCTGCCGTCGGCCGAGGCGGAGGAGGAGCGTCTGCTGAGCGAGCTCACGGGCCCAGACTTTTTCCGCTTCAGCATGGAGATCGTGAATGCGGACGCGGCGGCGATTAGCGCGTTCTCGCCCTGCTCCTCCTCCTCATCCTCCTCGTCCTCCTCGTCCTGCTCGCCCTTCTCCTCGTCCGCCTCCTCCTCCAACGCCGCCGTCTCGTCCTCATCGCCCGTCGCCTCTCTTCCCGGCGGATTCGCATTCTTCTCGAACGCGCACGGGAACCGGCACCAGTACCACCACCAGAGCGCGTCGCCGTTCGACGCCGTCTCGGCCCAGGTGCACGCGGCGGTCAAGACGGAACCCCACGTGGACTACACCTGCCACATGCAGCTGCAGCATCTGCATCACCTACAGCAGGACCCGCAAATGCACCTACAGCAGCAGCACCACCACCAGCACCACCAGCAGCAGCAGCAGCCCAAGTTGGAAGACCTGCATCTCGCCGCGTCCACACTCCACCTCCTGCCCTCGCCTCCCTCCTCTCCGCCGACGTCGCCGCATTTGCAGCAGCAGCAGCCGCAGCAGCAGCAGCAGCAGCTCTACGGCGGTGCCGCCTCCCAGTCTGAGCAGGGCTGCCCCTGGGGGGTGTCCTTTTACGCGGGTCTCTGCTGCGGGCTCCCCGATGCGGAGATGCAGCAGCAGCAGCAGCTCTTGCCCCCCATCGCATGCACGCAGTCCCCACCGGACACCCCCACAGCCACAGGGGCTCACGATCTCTCCGGCTTCACGCGCCGCTCCGTCGCCTCTCCCTCCTCGTCGTCGTCGTCGTCCTCCTCCTCCTCCTCGTCGTCCCCGTGCCCCCTCGTTTCGCAGGGCGCCGTGCACAGCTTCTCATTCCCGCCGTGCGGCGTCGGGGCGCCCGCGTTTGGAACGGGCATGGTGTCCACGACGGAGCTGACCGGACAGCTTTCTCCGCATCATCACCATCATCAGCAGCACCAGCAGCACCAGCAGCAGCATCATCATCAGCAGCATCAGCAGGGCTCGGGCGAGGGGATGTGCGCTGTGTGTGGTGATAACGCGGCGTGTCAGCACTACGGGGTCCGCACGTGCGAGGGCTGCAAAGGATTTTTCAAGGTGAGGGGGGAGTGGGCACCCACCTGTGTGAACGCACAAAGACAAAGGTCACCCGCATAGCCTTCACGCACACAATGTCGGGGGCAATTGCTGTTCGCGAGTAGCGTCGAGTGACGGCCGCCGCCGCCGACACGGCACCACGACGCGGGCGGTGTTGGCTAAGCGCCACGAACCGCCGTTGTCTCTCCCCAGTCGGTGATCGTTTTGCGCACACACCACACCAAGGGCAGTAGTCGTTTAGTCGAGGGCCGAGTCGAGCTGAGAAAGTCCCGGGATCGGTGCAGATCCACACCGCCGCCGCTGCGCGCACAGAGACACCCTCTGTAGACTATTGGGACCAGCGCAACGCGTTTGGAACTCGCACAACAGACAAAGATCCCCCGTATAGCCTTTGCTTGGCTGTTGGGGAAAGTGCTGCTCGCTGCGAGTAACCACGAGAGCCGTGGCACGGCGCCCATGACGTGTGTTTTGTTTCTCTTCGGTACGTGATAATGATGGCGATGATATTGAAATGATGATGGTGTGATAATGATGAAGTGTGATCATGACAATGTGATGACGATGTTGAAATGACGACGATGTGTGAGGATGTTGAAATGATAATGGAGATGTGTTGTGATGATGACGGTGGGTGGCGGTGTTGTGATGATGATGATGGTGATGATGTGTGATGATGACGGTGCGTGACAACGTGTTGTCTGCGCAGCGCACGGTGCAGAAAGGAGCGCGCTACGTGTGCCTGGCGAGTCGGAGTTGCCCCATTGACAAGAGGAGACGCAACCGATGCCAGTTCTGCCGTTTCCAGAAGTGTCTGGGCGTGGGCATGGTGAAAGAAGGTGAGCGCCAACTCCACCCACACACAGACAAAGGTCTCCCCTATAGACTTCACCAGACTGTTGGGGCAAGTGCTGTTTGCGAGTAGCAGCTTGCTTATAAAAGCCGGCACAGCGCTCTTGTGTACACGCACTGCACCAGGCACCCATTGACGAAATAAATTCCACGATATGATATTCGCTGCAACTTATTTTTTAGCAGAGCGGGAATCGAACTCGGGTCACCGGGTTCGTAGGGGGCAGTACGCGAACCGCTTCCATACGGCTCCGCATGTACCGTACATACACACACATCGCAGCAGCCGAAAATTCGCCACCAAGTGGCGGTGACGCCACTAAAACATCGACTGTGCCAGGCTAGGTGCACTCTGAGGCCATCACGTGAAGTGTCGAAGGCTCGCTGCTGGCAGGAGGTGCGGGACAGACCCGCGTGCTGCTGTGGGTTAACTGAGTTGACTTGCGGATGAACCACCTGCTGCGGCAACTCGCTCACACACACAGACACAGATCCCCCGTATAGCCTTAACAGACTGTTGGGGCAAGTGCTGCTAGCGAGCACCTATGCAGCCTGGCGTGGTACACGAGGGGGTGGGTGGCCAGCACCGCGCCAGACCGCCTTTGTCTCCCCAGTGGCGATGTTTACACACCCACACGAGATAATCATTTGAGGCTGAGTCGACAGAGGAGAGGCCCAGGTGCCGGGTCGGATAATCGTCACCGGTGTTGGCCCGTGAGGAGCGGGAATCGAACTCGGGCGGCCGGACTCGTAGGGCAGCGCGCTAACCGCTACACCGCCGCTCCCCGCTCACTGACACGAAGTCAGACGCACACAGACACACAGGCAGACACACAGACACACAGACACACAGACGACAGGCAGACATACAGACACACAGACGACAGGCAGACATACAGACACACAGATACACATACGACAGGCAGACATACACACACAGACGACAGGCAGACACACAGACATACAGACGACAGACGACAGACAGACACACATACGACAGGCAGACATACAGACACACAGACGACACACAGACATACAGACGACAGACAGACACACACGCGCACATGGGGTGCTGGTGCTCCCGTGGGAATCCGAACCGAACCTCTCCCCCCCCCCTCTGCTCCCCCCGCCCCCCTCCCTTCCTCCCCCCCTCCCCGTGCAGTGGTTCGCACGGACAGCCTCAAGGGTCGCCGTGGCCGCCTCCCATCCAAACCCAAGAGCCCGCAGGACGGGTCGCCCAGTACGGGACCCGCGGGGGGCGCAGGGGCGGGGCTCCTGGCGGGGGATGGAGGGGCGGGGCTCCTGGCGGGGGATGGAGGGGCGGGGCTCCTGGCGGGGGGTGGAGGGGCGGGGCTCCTGGCGGGGGATGGAGGGGCGGGGCTCCTGGCCGGAATTCTGGCGGCGCACAAGGAGTTGATGCCGGACTTGGGCAAGTTGGATTACTCCAGGGTAAGGGTACACACACACGTGCACACACACACACAGACACGTGTACACACACAGACACGTGTACACACACACACAGACACGTGTACACACACAGACACGTGTACACACACACACACACGTGTACACACACACGTGTACACACACACACACACGTGTACACACACACGTGTACACACACACAGACACGTGTACACACACACGTGTACACACACACAGACACGTGTACACACACAGACACGTGTACACACACAGACACGTGTACACACACACGTGTAAACCCACACACAGACACGTGTACACACACAGACACGTGTACACACACACACAGACACGTGTACACACACAGACACGTGTACACACACACGTGTAACCCACACACAGACACGTGTACACACAGACACGTGTACACACACACAGACACGTGTACACACAGACACGTGTACACACACACGTGTAGACACACACAGACACGTGTACACACACAGACACGTGTACACACACACGTGTACACACACACAGACACGTGTACACACACAGACACGTGCACACACACACGTGTACACACACACAGACACGTGTGCACACACAGACACGTGCACACACACACACGTGTACACACATACAGACACGTGCACACACACGTACAAAAAATAAAAGACACGCACACATACAGGCGCATGGACACACACACGTGTACACACACGCAGAGACAGAGACACACGCACAAATATTTACACACATGGACATAAACGTACAGGCATACACACAAAGATAGAAAACCGTTGGGGCAAGTGTTGTAAGAGACAGCCAGATACACGCACGTATATACACACACATACCTAGATATATAGATAGACATACCAAGTGCAGTATTACACACATACACGCACATTCCTAGATAGACAGACATGAATAGTATTACGTGCATACACGCAAATCAATATACATAGACATACATACAGAGCATACATTCCTAGATATACATCATATGATCACATACACACACACACCGATGTATACGATCATAGTATTACATACTTACATACACCCATACGTACGTATACATTTCCACATACACAAGTATTTCGTTTTTACACATCCCATCAGCGGCATTTGGTTCAAAACAATAAAAAAAACTCTGGACCGGTCTTGACATTCAGTGCCTCCTCATCATCACCAGCAGTAGCAGCACCAGCAGAGCGAGGCCTCCATGCCTGAGACAACGCTGGCCAACTTGCACGGTGTTCACAGGCACTGAATGTCAAGAAGGGCCCACAGTTTGTTCGACACGCGGCGAGCCATCAGCAGCAGCAGCGATCTTCCTGCTGCCGATCGTGCCTATGAACAACAAAACTCATCATTGGAACCTCATTTGCCAGAAGAAAACATGACTCCTTGTAAAAAAAAAAGTGTCAGTTTTATTGCCAGATAAAAGGGTAACAAAACTCATCCCTACCTCTCGCCTCTCCCTCCCCTCTCCCTCCCTCTCTCTCTTCCATCAGTGCGAGTCCACGGAACAGCAACAGCAGCAGGGACCCGCGTCCCCGTGCGTGTCGGACGCGGAGAGCGTGAGCCTCTTCTACTCCCTCCTCGCCGCCTCCGCGCGCGCCCTCGCCGCCTGGGCCGACCGCACGCCAGGCCTGCAGGGCCTCGGCCCCCACGACCGTGCGCTCCTCCTCGAGTCCGCGCTCCTGGAGCTCTTCGTGCTGCACCTTGCCTTCAGGTGAGACGGGGTCGGGAGTGAAGAAGGTGGTGGTGGAGTGGGGGGGGGGTGATATCGAGCGGGCGAGGGAATCTGGGATGATGCCACCTAGCCCCTCGAGCCATTTCATCACAAGTTCTTGTTCACGTGTCGCTCTCACACCGCACTTCGTAACCCCGCGTGCCCGCGTCTCGGTGCCCCTCTGACCCCCTTGCGCGTGTCTCCGCGGTGACTTCCCTCGCCTCTCTGCGTCTCCGCTGTCCCCGCTGTCGCCCCTGCGTGCTGGCGTCTCTAACCCGGTGGTTCTCTCCGTCCGCCCCGCAGCTCGGACCCAGGCCGTGGCCGCCTCGTGTTCTGCACGGGCCAGGCGCTGCACGTGTCCACGTGTGCGCCCGCCTTCGGCCAGTGGCTCCAGCCGGTGATGGAGTTCGCGCGGGGCCTGCGCGCCCTGCAGCCGCACGCAGACTCCCTCGCCTTCCTCGCGACGCTCGTGCTCCTCAGCGGTGCGTGCACACACAGAGACGGAGGAGATCCACCGTGTAGCCTCTGGCTGACTGTCGGGGCAAGTGCTCTTCGCTAGAAGCACGTGTGAAGGCCGGCACGGTGCACCCTTGAGTGGGTGTGTGGTCAAACACCACCCCGGGCCGCCCTTGTCTCCCGAGTGGTGATGTCTACACATCACCACTAAGTACTCGTTTTAAGGCCGAATCGACCTAGGGGAGGCCCAGGACCGGTTCAGATATTCGGTGCAGATGTTGTGGCTGTGAGCGGGAATCGAACTCGGGTTGCGGGGTTCGTAGCGCAGCCGCGCTAAGCACTGCGCCGCAGCTCCCCACAACACACGGATTCACACGCAGACATGTGCGCGCACACACGTGTGAACATACACACAGAGTCTACGTACACGCGTCGTCAGCGCTGCATCTTTAGCCGTCGGTGTGTTACTCCTCGTGGCGGTGCGGCGAGTCTAATTAAACCTCTCTCTGACCCGCCCCATTCAGACCGTCACGGCCTTCAGGATCCACTGCGGGTGGAGGAGCTAAGGACACGGGTCCTGGCCGCCATGCAGCAGCATCATCATCAGCAGCAGCAACATCATCAGCAGCAGCAGCATCTGAGTGCGCTGCTCTCCCAGCTCAGGGACCTGCGTCCCCTGTGCACCCAGGGGCTGCAGAGGATTTTCTACCTGAAGCTGGAAGACCTCGTCCCTCCTCCCCCCATCATCGACAAGCTCATGGACACGCTGCCCTTCTGAAGCGCCTGCGGATGAACCCGGCGGGAATATCCTATCGGGGCAGCGTCACTCGGCGCCGCTGACCCGTGCCGTTCACCCACCGCCACACTCGGTGTGGAATTGGAAGAGCGCGCTCGACAGCTCGTGTAGTAGCGCCCCGACCGTTGGATGTACTGAACCTGCGGACCTTCGGAAGATAACCTCCGTGGTTACCGCCGTAGTTAACTCTGGGAGTTGTACCCACGACTCGTGTGGTGGAGATGAACTCACAGGTGCGTGGACCCAGAGGGCGGCTCGGACTCTGGGAGTTGACCTGCAGAGTCGCCCGTTTGGGAGTTAACCCGACAAGCGGATGATGGCCCAGCGCACGGGGCAAAATGCGGCACAAGAAGATGGGCATTTCCCCCCCCCCCCGCCCCCGAGACTGCATCTCATCGCCGTGGATCGGAGCGGGTCACAGTTGCACATCCGTGCCTGGTGTTTGTATTGGGGAGTGTAATGTAAAGGGGGGGGGGGGTTATAGGGGTATGTTGGGGTGTCAGCCCCCTGCTCCCACCCGGTGTTAGAGACTTTGATCGCCACGTGTCGTCAATCGCACACCTGGATCGGAGAGCGTACACCCAAACGTTTTCTTTCGTCGAGGAGACAGTATATATATATATACTGTAACGTTTATATACTGTAGGCATTTTATCGCTGGTGTCCATTTTGCCATGTCTGTATAGACTGCATTTTTAAATATGAAGGGGATTTCTTTCTTCTTGTGGATGGAGGTGGGGGGGGGAGGGAATTGAATATGTGCCTGGAAACCATACACTTTATATACATAGATATACAAATATAAGAGAGAGAGAGAACGTTTATAAATATAGAGAACTATTCTAACGATGAAAAAAAGTCGAATTTTAAAAAACAAAAACCTCCACGCGACTCGAGCCATGCCTTGGAAGCCATCACCGAGTGCTGACGCGCGTGACCGTCCCGCACGGCTTCATCATCAATGGGGGTTGTGGTTGGGAACCGTTCATCGGAGCGACTTTCCTGTTGCCCGTTCTCCGACGTCGTCGCTCCCCGCTTCGCAAACGCAGTCGCGCACAAGCGAGCCCCTTTCGCCGATGGGGTTAAGTTATTGGATTGGTTATTGATACAGCAACGCCCGTGTTAAGACCGCGAGAAGAGGCGAATGACTCACGAGTGGAGGGGCCCCTTTCCGCCAGCAGCGGCGATTATAAAACAGTTGCACGGCTGCGCCTTTGCATTTTACATTGTTAGGCTTCGGTTGGGCCCGGGGCCTTCCCATCTGGCCTGGAAGCTTGGCCCAAAAGGTGGCCTCAATCGAACCAGGGCAGCACCGTTGGCAGAGTTGTAATTCTAGTTTGTTATTTACCTTTATACAACGGAAAACATTAAAAACCATTTTCGTATTAAACAAATTTTGCTCTTCTATCATTACACAAAAAACAAAAAACATCTTTACTGTTGCGTTGCCTTCGACGACTCGCCGAGCCAATCGCAGCGCTGCCCGGGCGTTGCAACAGGGAAGAGCGCTCAAAGCGACTGCGAGCAAAGTTGCTGCAGAAAGTTGCGAGCAACTTAGTCCCCGCTCCCCCACCGTGGCGATGCACGGGCAGCAACGCTCGTGTAGCAAATGGATATTGTCTGAAAGTCGCACCGATGAACATTAGCTCCACGGGTGAACCCTTGCCAGCATCGGTCCGCCCGTCCGTCAGTTACTCATTTATTTGACCAGCGCGGACGCCCATTGAGATTCACGGCAACTTTTTTTTGTCTTCGTGGTTTGCGGGGAATGACGATGAACCAGGAGTCGAAATTCCACATTCCTACGGCGGGGATAATTCTCAACATAGGACCGCCCTATGGGGTTGATATACACACGCAAAAATGTTGAAACAAAAAAATTACGCTGATGGAGTTTGGGTTGAGGATGTGTGGTTAATAAAGAGCCTTCCACGATCAGCCAGGGTGGCGCTGTGGTGATCTCAGCGCTCGGCTCGCAATCTGAAGGCGTTCAAGTTCACATCCTGCCCCGAGGCCGAGTTAACATGCCGACGGTGGGTAAACCGTGGCTTGTGACTAGAAACGTAGGACCAACCAGACCCCAAGATTCCATGTTTACTTGGCGGTGGTGGGGGGGGGGTTAACTCGGCCAACAATCTCTCCAGGGGGGCGATAAAACAAACTTTATCGGGGTAGGAGGTCATAATTTCTCCAATCAAACGACGATTCACCCTCCTTATAGAATGTGGAATTTCCAAATCGACGGGAGAAGCAGCAGCAGCGGCTTGCTTCCGATGACCCCCTGTATGGCGTCATTCAACGTTTTTTTTAAGTTAAACAAATATCCGCATATAAATATTACCCGTGACCAAAATGATGAACAGGGGATGTTACTATGCAGCAACCAAGGATTAGGCAGCGGTTAACGAATCTCAATAGGATCTCTCCTGGCTAAATAAAGGACGGCGACGATTGCGACCGCGCGCTGTGGGCTGGCTACTGGTTCTTCGAACACGTGGCACGTTCCTGGTCGTGGCGTGTGCGACCACGGGGTTAGCGCCACGCCGCGCTACGAATCCGGCGACCCGATGTCACGGTCACCAACGCCAGTGACGAATATCTTGCAGCGGTCCTGGGCCTCCTCTAGGTGGGCTCAGCCTTAAAATGAGTAGAGTACCTGGTGCGGTGCGTAGAAAATCGGCACTGGGGAGACAAAGGCGGTCGGGCGTGGTGCTGGCCGCCCACCTCCTCGTGTGTCGTGCCGGCCTTCATAGGTGCTCGCCCTACAGCACTTGCCCCAACAGTCTGTTGAAGGCTATACGGGGGATCTTTGTCCTGTTATCTTTGTGTGTGTGTGTGTGCGCCGTGCCGGCCTTAATAGGTGCTCGCTCACAGCACTTGCCCCAACAGCGTGCGGGAAAGTTGGAGTCGTACGCTGTGGCTACTAAATCTCGTGTCCTGGGTTCGACTCCTGGCCATAAGAACTGTTATCACTCGCACCCATTGGCAACTAACTCACTACTAATCCGACATGGACCTCCCTTAGGGTCAACGCAGTCTCTCTATCGAGTAACGCGTGAGCGTGGCGAGAGCCCAAAGCGAGCGGGCGTGAGCGCTTCTGATCTTGCCAACATCCCACCTTACATACGCAGTTTCAGCCTTAATAGGTGCTCGCTAACAGCACTTCCCCCACCCCCCCCCATACAGCCTATGAGGCTATACGGGGCAATTGTGTGTATGTGCAGAGTATATGTGTGGGGGGGGGAGCGGAGGGGTAGTGGTTTGCGTACTGCATCACGATTCCGGCGACCTGGGTTCGATTCCCGGCGATTAATTCACAGGTCAACTCAAGCCTTAAATAAAAGCCCGGGGCGATGTGTAAGCATCGGCACTGGAGAGACAAAGGCGGCCGGGCGTGGTGCTGGCCACACCACTCCTTGTGTGCCGTGCCTGCCTTAAAAGGTGCTCGCTAACAGCACTTACCCCCAGAGTCTATGAAACGAAACGGGGCTGTCTTGTCTGTGTTGTTGTGCGTCTTTGTACTGTGCGTGTCTCTGTGTGCCTGTATGAGGAGCGGTGGCGCAGTGGTTAGCGCACTGCTGTACGAACTTAGCGACCGGCGTTCCGTGCCCGCTCACAGCCAATAACAGTGGGAAATATCTGAGCCGGTCCTGGGCCTTCCATAGGTCGACTGCAGCCTTAAATGAATACCTGGTGCTGTGTGTAACATCAGCACTGGGGAGACAAAGGCGGCCGGGCGTGGTGTTGGCCACACCAGTGCATTGTTCCGGCCTTCAGCACCTGCCCCAAAAGTCTGTTAAGGCTATACAGGGGATCTTTGTCTTTGTGTATATGGCTATGTTTGTTTGTTTGTCTGTATGCGATGCCAAACAAAAGACTCGTGTTATGTCCGCTGACACTTATTTAAAGACGCCTATTAAAGGAAGACGCAACCAAAACAAATACAACGTCTGTTGCCGTTTCGTTTTGTGCGTCGCGTGGGTCCAGGCTGCAGCAGCAGCAGCGGCAGCCATCGCCCCCTACTTGCGAGAGCGAAGCAAAACACATTCCTGCGGAGGGAGCTGGTAGGAACGTTGGGTTGTTCAGTCAATGGGCAGGGTCAACAGCGGCGTGGTGTATTCCGCAAATTTGCCCGACTGTGAGGGCGGGCACAAGCCGGCGTGAGTAGGTTAAACGTTGAGTTTTATAAGGGCACCACGGGGTGACCAGCCCCTCCCCACCCAGCCCCACCCTCCCCACCCAGCCCCTCCCCATCCTCCCCACCCAGCCCCTCCCCTCTCCACCCAGCCCCACACCTCCCATTTTTGGATGTACGACGGACGGACACAAGAATCCCTTGTGGGCTGGTGTAACCAGGAGGTTCCTACCAGTAAAACCCCTCCTGCAACAGCAAGGAGGCATTTCCTCGCCTAAAATAAGCGTCGCTTGTAATATAAATATAAAGCACGTTTTTTCATTTTTCACAATCGATTGTTTTTTTGGGGGGGGTCAGATCGCGCGACTACAACGTGTGTCGTGCACCCTCCCTTCACCCGACACACGTGAGAGCGGCATTCATTGTCTGTGTCCGGGAGGAGGAGGAGGGTGCACGACACAGCGAACAAAGCTGTCACGTGCGCCACACGCGGCAGTGCATTGCGCGTATGGTGAACTTCTTTCGCACCATACGTAGTCAGCCGTGCCCATCAGAAGTGCGGATTATTTCTTTAGCACGCTGGTATTGTTGGAGAGTAGTTGTGGGCGCCACGGTTAGTGAGATGTTAACTACCTCGCATGGTATACAGGAAGTCGTGGGTTCGTTTCCGACCCTGACACATGCTGTATATTTGGAGTTTGCATGTGCTCCCCGTGGTTGCGTAGATTTTTTTCTCCGGGTCCCCTGGCTTTTCCACAAGTAGAAACATACCTTTAGAGTCTTGACTGAAAGCTTTCGTGACTTCAAGAATTCATATTCTTTGGTTCAAAGAAACCTGTCTACGTGACTTTACTGAAAGACCCAAATAATATATCTTTAGAGTATGTGGCTACTATAAATTTCCACGTGATAAACCCCTTCGTTGCGTCATCATTTGTGGCCAGGTCGCTATTGAAAAAGAGCTGTCCAGCTCAATGGGCCTTACCTGGTAAAAAGAAAAAACAAAAAAAAGTTTTTAATGACCTCTGGGTATTATCATGAAATAATGTGCAGGCCCACGAGGCTGACGCCACCCGCGTCGCTGCAAGAGCTGCCCTTGCGCTGGGTGTCCCCGGCTGTAAGCCCGCAATATCCGTAGCTGCTTCTTATCTCCGTGTGTGTGTGTCTCTCTCTCTCTATCCCCTCGCTTATCTCTCCAGAGTTTTATACTCCGTCTCTCTCTCTCTCGCGCGCGCTTATCTCTCCTGAGATGTATCCTCACGAATCGGTCATAAATAACCTTCATACCTGCAGGCCGTTGGGTCAGACGCAGTTAACGCACAAAGGCACAGATCCCCCGTATAGCGTGTCACAGGCTGTTGGGGCAAGTGCTGTTAAGAGAGCAGCACCCATGGAGGCCGACACGGCGCACCTATGTAGAGGGTGGGTGGCCGAATACCACTCCAGGCCACCTTTGTCTCACTCGTGGAGATATTCAAACATTGCAAAAGGTACTCGTTTTTAAGACTTTGAGTCCCCCTAGGGAACCGGCGAAGAAAATCCTCACCGGTGTTGGTTACCGTGAGCGGGAATCAAACTCGGGTAAGCCGGCTTCGTAGCGCAGCGCGCCAACAGCTGCACTCCCGCTCCCCACACAACAACAACAGCCGCCGCCGTTCGTCACTCAGCGGCGGCGACGTCCCCACAGCGCCCGTGCCAGGCTAGGTGCACACCGAGGCTGTTTACGCGACGCGCGCCTAATGGCTCTGCCGCTGGCAGGCGGACCCCGGGGCCGACGTGAGCGAGGTGACCGGCTGATACGCGCCGCCTCTCGCCGCGGCATCGCGACAAACCTTTGCGGGCGTTCGTGTCCCCACGCGAACAAACGCGGTCGGGCGCGTTGGCGACTGGAAAGGATTCCCCCGGGGCTCGTACTCATGAGCGGGCATTGGGAGCGCTTCGTGTAGCGCGCGCGGTGTCCCTCTGTGTGTGTCCGAGCCACGCCGGAGTTCACCCACCACCCCCCCACCCCCTTGCAGACGGAATGGACTCACCGCTAAAAGAAAAGAAAAATAATCTTTCACTGAGCACTGCTTGATGTCCTTTATTTAACCGGGTAAGAGAGTGTCCTTTATTTTACCACGTGAGAAAGAGCCCTTTAATAACCAGCTGGGTCCTTTATTTAACCAGATGAGAGAGAGTCCTTTATTTTACGACGTGAGAAAGTCATTTATATAACCAGGTAAGGGAGAGTCCTTTATTTAACCAGGTGAGAGAGAG